TGCTTAACTTCCCCATGTTATTTATGTGTTGCTTGAGCTCCAGTTGACATGAAGTTTTCCTAACTGACGTATCCTCTCTGGACTTTTATTTTTCTCACACAGATGTGGAACCATGCTTCTTGTATACTGAAGAAGACGAAGCAGATAAAATCGTATGTAAAATCAATGTCACTTTGTACAAATATTAAAATCGTCTGGCTATCAACCTATTTTTGTCTCTTGGTTTTGCTAGAGTTGATGATGTTGAAGGTATAGAATCACTTCGTTGGGAAGATCAGCAAAAGATTAGAAAATATGTCGAATCTGGAGCAGGGAATAGCACAAGCACAAGCACAGGCACGAGCAGTACCTCTAATAATGCCAAACTAGAATATGGGATTGAAGTGTCACAAACTTCTCGTGCCGGTTGCAGAAAGTGTAGCGAAAAGATCTTGAAAGGAGAGGTAAAGTGTTGTTCTACTTCATCTGTCATGGTTGTAGTATTTTATATGAACTGGTTCGACATGCATTAGGTTATTGTTATGCATTTATGTTTTCCAGGTACGTATATTCTCTAAGCCTGAAGGCCCGGGTAACAAGGGTTTGATGTGGCATCACGCCAAATGTTTCCTTGAAATGTCTTCCTCTACTGAACTGGAAAGTTTGTCTGGGTGGAGAAGTATACCAGACGCAGACCAAGAAGCTCTTCTTCCCTTAGTGAAGAAAGCTCTGCCAGTAGCCAAAACTGGTAAGACTCTTAATGTGTTCGGTAATAAATTGGTTTCCTTGTTACAGTATCCTGATTTGCAGTTCTATAGTCTGACGTCTTTCTGTTAATTTCTTTTGGCACAACTGGGACAGAGACAGAAGAAGCACATCAAACCAATTCAAGAGCAGGCACAAAACGAAAAAATGATTCTGGTGATAACGAGAAGTCGAAAATAGCAAAAACTAAAACTAGTTTTGACATGTCTACAAGTGGTGCTTTACAACCCTGTAGCAAAGAAAGGGAAATGGAGGCCCAGACTAAGGAATTGTGGGATCTGAAGGATGATCTGAAAAAATATGTGAAATCGGCTGAGTTGCGGGAAATGCTTGAAGTAAATGAACAAAGTACACGAGGATCTGAACTTGATCTGCGTGATAAATGGTAAATTACTTTGTGAAGCTGTCTGGAAGTAAATTGCTTGTCTTTTGTTTTATTTCTGTTACTGTTGTGTGGATTTTCGTAAAAGGTAATTTGGATTAGAGAAACTGATGATGGATAATCATATTCCTGTCCTCTTTCTGTTTAGTGCTGATGGCATGATGTTTGGCCCTCTCGCTCTCTGTCCAATTTGCTCTGGGCATCTTTCTTTCACCGGAGGACTTTACCGATGCCACGGATACATCTCGGAATGGAGCAAATGTTCTCATTCCACTTTGGATCCAGACCGCATCAAAGAGAAGTGGAAAATCCCTGACGAAACAGAAAATCAGTTCCTTCTGAAGGTAAATCAGTCCTTTTGTAGAGTTGATATTGGTATGGGTTAGGCTAGATGTGGTATATATTACTCATGAAGTTAATATTTTTATTTTGATTCCTTGCAGTGGAATAAGTCTCAAAAGAGTGTGAAGCCAAAACGTATTCTGCACCCTGTATCGTCTGGTGAGACGTCTCAGGGTCAAGGTTCTAAAGATGCAACTGACTCCTCAAGGAGTGAAAAGCTGACAGATCTTAAAGTTTCAATTGCTGGACATACTAAGGATAGGGTATGTCCTTCTGTCAAAAATTATATTGTAAACTATCTCTGTACTTCATTGCTTGATGGGATCATTTTGCAGCAACCATGGAAGAAGAGAATTGAGGAAGCTGGTGCAGAGTTTCATGCTAATGTTAAAAAAGGTATGTCTTACTCGAGTGTCTAGTTTAGATTATTGTGACAGTTTTTTTAGCTTTTGAATATCTCTGTTTCACAATTTTGTAGGTACAAGCTGTTTGGTTGTTTGTGGACTGACAGATATCAGAGACGCTGAAATGAGAAAGGCAAGGTAGGTTAATGCCGTCATTGGGGTGATACTCTTTAACTTCATCACACTATTTTTTCTCACTTTGAACATTGGAGTTGATACACATGTGTGGCAGGAGGATGAAAGTGGCAATCGTGAGAGAGGACTATTTGGTTGACTGTTTTAAAAAACAGAGGAAACTTCCATTTGACAAGTACAAAATTGAAGACACTAGTGAGAGCCTTGTCACTGTTAAAGTAAAAGGACGAAGCGCTGTGCATGAAGCGTCTGGCCTCCAAGAGCACTGTCACATTCTTGAAGATGGGAACAGTATCTATAACACAACCCTGAGCATGTCTGATCTTTCTACCGGTATCAATAGTTATTACATACTCCAGATAATCCAAGAAGATAAAGGTTCAGATTGCTACGTATTTCGTAAGTGGGGCCGAGTTGGAAATGAAAAGATTGGTGGTAACAAAGTTGAAGAAATGTCAAAGTCCGATGCGGTTCACGAATTCAAACGTCTATTTCTTGAAAAGACCGGAAACACATGGGAATCTTGGGAACAAAAAACGAATTTCCAGAAACAACCTGGAAAATTTCTCCCGTTGGACATTGTAAGTATCTTATATCTTTTGTATCTTCAGATTCTCATTTTTTTTTTTTATAAATCCTTCATAAACTATTTTGTATCTTGTGTTTCAGGATTATGGAGTTAATAAGCAAGTAGCCAAAAAAGAGCCATGTCATACCAGTAGCAACCTTGCTCCTCCATTAATAGAATTGATGAAGATGCTTTTTGATGTGGAAACTTACAGGTTAGAAACTTATGTGCCATTGTCTTCTTCTCCTCTCCTCTCCCTAGAAACTGTCTGAAGTAACGTAATAATTACTTCCACAGATCTGCAATGATGGAGTTCGAGATAAATATGTCAGAGATGCCACTTGGGAAACTCAGCAAACATAATATACAGAAGGGTAACTCCTACTTGTCTAGTTTTGCTCTTTTATATGATGAATTCTTAGTTCTACATTACATTCTATTTTTTTTTCTTGTTTGTTCTTCTAAAGGTTTTGAGGCATTGACGGAGATACAGAAGCTATTGACTGAAAGCAACCCCCAGCCTACTATCAAAGAAAGCTTGCTTGTTGATGCTAGTAATAGATTTTTTACCATGATCCCTTCTATTCATCCTCATATTATCCGAGATGAAGATGACTTTAAGTCAAAGGTACTTGCCAGAGAACATGAACCATGGTTTTGTTTTTTTTTTAATAAAAATCTTGGCCTCTTTTTCTGCCTTACAAAAAAGGTATTGCATCTGTGTGTCGCAGGTGAAAATGCTCGAGGCTCTGCAGGATATCGAAATAGCTTCAAGATTAGTTGGCTTTGATGTTGATAGCACCGAATCTCTTGATGATAAGTATAAGAAGCTGCAGTGCGATATTTCACCACTTCCTCATGATAGCGAAGATTATCGATTAATCGAGAAGTATCTTAACACAACTCATGCCCCAACACATACAGTGAGTTCAAGCTCTGTTTATTCTTTTTCATGTTTGCTTATCATAAGTTTCTAATTCTATATATGGTTATTGGATTTGTCAGGAGTGGAGTCTTGAACTAGAGGAAGTTTTTGCTCTTGAAAGAGAAGGAGAGTTTGATAAATATGCTCCCCACAGGGACAAACTTGGCAATAAGATGCTCCTATGGCATGGTAAGCCAGCTGCAACCAGCCACACTTACATGCTTTGGGAAACTGATACAGGAAATTTCATTGTTAATATATTGTTTTAATCTATATTGATGTCTGGTTGATCAAATCCCTTGGTATAACCAAAATAACGCTGCTTTCAGGTTCTCGATTGACAAATTTTGTTGGAATATTGAACCAAGGACTGAGAATTGCACCTCCAGAAGCTCCTGCTACTGGTTACATGGTTAGTACTCTCCGTGTCTATATTTCTGTGGATCTTATCAATTGAGGGTTCTTCGCTATCTAGTTAACTTGTTAGAGAATCTGAACTTCTTAAAAACCCCATGTTTCAGTTTGGAAAGGGGATATACTTCGCTGACCTTGTCAGTAAAAGTGCTCAGTACTGCTACACTTGTAAGAAAAATCCGGTTGGTCTAATGCTTCTGAGTGAAGTTGCATTGGGAGAAATACATGAGCTAACAAAAGCTAAGGTGAGCCCATATTACATTTTCTTTTAAGTTATGCTACTAATCGTTTGGTTCTTATCTTGAAACTATAGACACAACTTGAAATATTACGTACCTTCATATATGACTGTCTCTTATGTCCACAATTCTTTAGTATATGGATAAACCTCCGAAAGGGAAACACTCGACTAAAGGGCTTGGCAAGAAAGTGCCTCAAGATTCAGAGTTTGCCAAGTGGAGAGGTGATGTGACTGTCCCTTGTGGAAAACCTGTTGCATCGAAGGTCAAGGCTTCCGAGCTTATGTACAACGAGTATATTGTCTACAACACAGCCCAGGTAACTTCTGTTTCCAAAATAATCTTCCTTGTTCTTTTCACCATTGGACAATGGGAAATTTCGCAAACATTATGTCCTCTTTTGTTCTTGTCGGGTAATTGAAATGAGAAATGAATTCTCCAGAAAGCTCATACTTCAGAATACAGTTTCAGCTATTAGTTTTGCAGCATATACTGTGATTGATTCTTATATGGTTATGGTGTGTACATGTCTGACAAAGATTGATTTGTCTCTGAACAGGTGAAGTTGCAGTTCTTGTTGAAAGTAAGGTTTAAGCACAAGAGATGAGCCTGAACCAAACAAGAAGACATAGCTTCTGATAACACGAAGACTTAACTTTTGTAACCAAATGTCTTTTCGGAGATCAAATCCAACATGAAGTCACAGATTTTGTCGCTCTGGCTTTGTAGATGTGTCTGCTTTATAAACAGCGTAGACTACATTTTGTTATGCTTTTTCTCAGTAATGACTACTTTTTGGTCTTAAGGCTAAACACTTGTTCAAATCTGATGTTGTTTCTGTGAAAGATCATCGAAGAAGTGGTTATTCTCAAAGAGAAAATGGTTGCCTGATTCGATCTCTGCTATGAAAAATATCGAAACGTGGATAGTATAATTCTTGAAGAATTTAAGGCTCAATTTCTGACAAAGAATTCACTTGTACTCAAACAGACCAAGGAAAATTGACCTCTTGATAGTAAAGAGATTCATTTGAGCTACAAAGAGACTCATTCCTATCCAAAGATCGCCCATGGTCGCGTGTGGTACCACTCATTAGGTCGAGGTCTGAGTCCAAGATTCCTTGGTGAAACCAATTGTGAAGATCTTGTGGCATTTGCTGAGCAATAACTTTTTCTTGCTGCTTCATATTGCAACCAGGATCCTCTTGAGGGAACCTTCTAGAAGCTTCTTCTCTAAGTAGGACCACTTGAGCTTGTAAACTAACAACCTTAAGAACAAAAGCAAGTGAAGTTACTTGTAAGTACACTTGGGATGATGAACCAAGACCAAAAACAATTTTATGTATATACATTTCATAAGAAAAAATACCTGTTGTTGGAGGGAAAAGATTTGGGAGACGCAGCCGTAAATAGGATCATGGAGACGAGAGTGAGCCTCGTAAGAGATGGTTCGTACGGCGTCACATCGGTCATGATCAGGGAGATGAGAAATGAGTTTAGAGAAGTTGCTGGCTCCAAACACTTTGTGAATGGCTGAAAAATTAGAAGATCCTTCTTCGTAGCAAAAGTATGGTGCAAATACACAACCTTCTACACATTTCCTACGCAAGAACTTGCATCCTCCACATGGTGAGCCTAAACCTCCCATTCTCAAAACGTAGTAATAATCTATTATTAACCAAATATTATTATCTTGGAGGAATATTAATACTTCTAATGACGATTATATAGTGCATGCGTGGAGGACTAAGGTGGGATTTATGATAACTCAAATTGTTATATCCTATACTATTATTTGGGGAGTACACTTTATAAGATACCCTTAACTAACCTTCCTTTTTGTAAAAATTTACTTAAGAATGCCATTAGAAATAAAATTTTATAGAGTAAATTAATTCAACTCATTAAGGATAAACAAGTCAAATACTATTTTATGCAATTTAATTAATTTAATTTAATTATAAAAACGAAAATCTATTATTAATTTCTTTAAAAAGAATGACCAATCAAAATGAACATATAAGATTTGATATCTAACTTACCATATTAATTTGTTATTAATCATTATATTTCACCTCTCATCTTTATATGATTCTATTTCTATAAATAAATAAATCATTATATCATCTATATAATAAAAAAAAGTAATTTTTTTCCCGCATATACCAAGATTTGAATTTTTAAAAACGAATATAAATTATTCAATGTATGAAAGAACAAATTTAACGGGTCAAAAATTCATATTTGAGTAATATATTCCTTTTTTTTTAGTATCATCAATACTGAATAGATCAAAAATTTATGAAGTATATATACTCTAATTGATTTTTTGAAACAAATATTTATAATAGGCGACGGGTTGAATATAATATATTATATGATCAAATGAGTTATGATACTTATAACTATTTGAATATTTATATTTAATTTCATATCATTTTTTTTTAAATCATAATTTTACATACTACAATAAAAAATTTTAAAGATTTTAATTTGGAACATTTTAAAAAAAGTTTAATTTATTATATTAAAGAATATCATAAATATTTAATAGATTAAAAAGATAAAAAAAATTATAAATACATTAATTTGATTTTCTAAAAAGATATGTTTAATATATTTATAGTAGGCGGCGGGTTAAATGTAATGTATTATATGGTAGAAAGTTATGATCCTTATAACTGACGGCATTTTAAGATTTTATGATGAGATGAGTTAAATAAGGTTTGACACTTCTAAATATTTGAAAATTTGATTTTGCAAGCAATTTTGAAAATAATAAATAATAGATTATGCCGCAATATTTTTATAGGGATTGTAAAATGAAAATATAGACTCCACACACGGATTGAATTTGGTATTATTATATACCAAATATATGTTCATAACATATTTGATTATGTGAATAATTGGTAAATTCCGTAATTAGCTCAAACAAATCTCTATTTTAACAACCAATGAATCAGAATTTGAAAAAATAATTTTCTAAATTAATTCAAAATAATAGCTAATTTTCTTAAGTAATTCAAAATAATCTACGTTTTAGATGCGATTTATTTATGATATTTTAATTTTTGATCTAACTAAATTATATGCACTCTCATTTTGTGGTTGTTAACATAAATTAACTCATTGTTCAAACAATATTAATTTTTTAAAAAATAATCTTATGTTCCGTTTACATATCTTAAAAAAAATATCCATAATTGAATACTATAGAAAAAAAAAATATATTCATTCTAATATTATATATAGGGACTGACAAAAAAATATTATTTTTATATATCACAACTTTATTATAAAACATAAAATTTATTAATTTTGTAATAAATGAAATTTAACCCGTACTGTAGTACGGGTGATGATCTAGTTTTACATATTTGTCTCTCTAATGGCTTACAATTACAAGATTGCAGCTTCTATTTTTTTTCTCCCTCAAGTTTATATTGTAAAACATCTCTTTTTATATAACTCGTTGTAATATATTATTGGGATTAAACTCTCAAGGTGGAGAATATTCGTCGAAAATATTTGATAGAACCATATTAATATTAAGATCCGATCAAATGAGAGATTTGGTTGACGTATAGGACAAAACAATGAGTAAACATGAACCAAACCCAAGTTGCTTTTTGTTGTGGTTTTAGCTTTTTTTTATTCATAATTAATCTTCTCTTATTTTAAAAAATAAATTAGATGTTTACTTTACATGTACTTGTGAAATTATGTTAAGATGTTGTCACCATTGCTAAATTTTGAAAATAATAATTTGAGATGTTAATGCTCAACATATACACCACATAGGTGTATAAGTATTTTTCTTCTATATTTTAAAATTTGGACGAACCTGCATAAGAATAAAGGCTTTTGATATTATTAGTCTATGAAACAAGTTATTTCTATATCTCGATTTAATTATTTTACTAAGATCTCAGCTTCGATCATACTTTACAGACTAGAAAAATAGAGAGACCCATGATTATCCAGCACACATTTAATCATGAATCATGATTAACAACAAATTATTCCAAAGTAATTGATCAAGTACAAAAGTTAAAAATTTATTCGAAAATAATGAACAACAACTGATAGTGGATTTATGACTTAATGTTGGTTTAGTGGAGATTAAAAATAGTAAGAAAAAAATAGAGTTTGAAGAATGAAGATTGATGATGTATATGACGTCTTTAGAGTTTTTTTTTAGCTTAATTTTTGATTTCTTATCTTTGTGTCAAGGACTTTGTGTGTCTTTAGATATCCTAACTTGTGTCTAAAGTTCGCGGATAAGGAGGAGTTTTGGTCAAATACCGGCCGGATAACAAAGAAACAACAGAACCAATATCGGCCATGGGATTGGTCTCACCAATAATTGATCTAGGATTCCTCAAACAACCCTCATAAGCCACATTGGCCACGCCCATCAATCAAATGCAGACCGATCCAAGATCCCTGGAGCCAACTAAATAACCCACATCGGTCAACCATCTTGGTCATAGAGCCACCGATCTATCTAGCCAACCAAAGCATCCGACCAGTAGCTACATCGTTCAGCCATATCGGTCATATTTTTTATTGATCCTAATCAGTAATCACAGCACATCTGATTCAGAAGCTGCATTGATCCCAACATCGGCCAATGATACCCAAACATTATACTTACCATTTGCAAATCCTATTCTACTGGGAAAACAATGTAGTGCTCGTCTTTTAATTGATGAAATTGAAACCCGAACATTGCATTTTGAGAAATAGTATGCAGTCGCAAAAGCATATTCAAAGGTCGAAAGAAAAATAACAACTTTGTAACTTTTTAACTAATTAGCAAGCTTCGATGACTCACATAATTTTCAATAGAGTATCAAGGAGTTAAACATTGCAATGAATCTGCAAATTACATGTACATATACCAGTGTTAGATAGGGGAAGAGACCAAAGCCTAAGACAAATGTGTGTTCTTCCATGGCCTTTTAAAAAGCTTCAATATATAGTGATGAGACAAAACCTGATTGATTAGTCAACGGCTTTAGAATCATTAGAAGAAGACGCCTCACCAGATTCAGAGTGGTGATGGTCATGATCATGATGATGGTGATGGTTGTCATCTTCTTCTTCACTGTCATCCTCATCAAAGGGCTTCTGTTTGTGAAAGATGCAACACTTCTTGGAACTCTTCTTCTGCATAAACTCGTTGTCAACAGTTCCGTCTTTCCATGAAACTTTCTTCTTCTTCCGGTTCAAGCGAAGCACTAATCTTTCAGTAGGTTGTGATTGAGAAACAGGGTTTTCTAATATAACAGAGGTTGTAGCAGAAGAAGAAGGCCTTGTCGCTGTGCTCATAGCTCAAGATAAGCTTTTGATTATCTGCATAGGGAGACAAAAATGATCAATTTATGGCTGCTCAAAAGACTACTTTCATGAGGTACATACTACATACAAGAAGCAAAAGTTTCACAAAAAGCATAAAGACACTGCAAAAATCTAATCTTTAAGTCAAGTGGTTCAAGGGGAGTCACAGGATGTGTTATAGCTTGTCTATCATGTACCATTAAAAAAACTTAGACGATAACAAAATCGTGAAACCGAACAACAAAAAAGACTTTAGGGTTCATTCTTTAGGAAACAAAGAGATGATATTTTCTAAACTCTCAATTCATTGCCTTGGAGATCTGAACCTAATCATTCGTAATTCCATGAGATATCGTTGGATAACACACAAATCTAACTCTTATCAAATTGATAGAATCAAATGTTGCAGTAAAAATAGAGACCTAGTTTCGATCGCCCAAAACAATATAGCAAAACAAAATTGAGAAACAAGAAAATCGAAGAAAACCTGTGAATCCGAGGAGGAAGAGACGCTTGGTGATGGAGAAGTTTTTTTTTCCGCCGATGGAGAAATTTTCTCGCGCTCCAACAAGAAGAAGAAGAAGAAAAAAAAAAGTCGGTCGCATCATGTTTTTATTTTATTTTCGGGTAATAAATGTTTTTTAAATTTGGCTAATTTATTTTAAGGAAAATGAAAAAAACTCGGGGCATCATAGCATCTCTCTGGGATCTTGTAATGGATCATGGAAGAAGAACACACATGATCTGTTGGGGCATCATAGCATCTCTAATGTATTATATTGTACATAAGGTTTGATATCTTTCTTTAAGCCTGTAACCATTTATGTGCTCTGACATTTGTTTCGTTTTTCTTCCTAGTGGTTGCTCTCTGTCCTAACAATACTGAAGTTCATATCTATAAATCATTATCTCTAGACCAGTGGGAGAGGTTACATGTCCTCCAAAAGGTCAAACCTTTTGAACCTGCACTCCTTTCCTTTCTCTTCTAGTTCTTGGGAATTCTTTACTTCATATCTATGTTTATCCTCATTTTCCTCATCACTATTCACTCTTCTATAGACAGCTTGATACTCCCTTACAACAACTTCTTGATTATTGTTTGATTCATCTGTTGCAGCATGACCAGATTGTTTCTGGAATAGATTGGAGCTCAAAGTCCAACAAACTCGTCACTGTTTCCCATGACAGGAACTCGTAAGTTGATATACTTTGAGGAAATTGTGACCTTCTACTTTGATTAATGCTGTGAGAAACTCCAAACCTGTTATTCTTACTACTTCTCTGTTTTAGTTCTTTTAACTGAGTTCAGAATTCTCGTTATTCTTAGACTAAATCGTGCCGCACTTTGTGTCCAATGGAGTACAAAAGGTAAATGTATCAGATCCAAAATTTACTAAGTCTTTTAGCTTAATTGTTTACGTAATATGTAATGTAATTTTCCTATATTTCTTACAGCTTCTAATTTATGTTCCCATCTTTTTGCTCAATACCCATAGAGAACAAGTTCGCTGTTGGAAGTGGTGCTAAAACTGTTTGTATTTGTTATTATGAGCAAGAGAATAACTGGTACGTTCTTCTTCTGCTCCTAGTTCTTGGACGTTTGGTGTGAAATGGTCTCCAAGTGGAAACACCTTAGCATATGTAGGTCAGAATATCCTTCTGTTTGTCCATTGCGCCTTACTGAAATAATACAATGGAACTTCAACTTGGTTGGATAATTTTTACTACCCTCTGTGAGCAAAGGAGGGGGCCCTAAAGTAATGCGATTCAGCGATTCAGGTCAGTCACTAGATTAAAATTCATATAACCCTTCATGGAATCAGCCGATTCAATTCCATAAAATGACTCTTTCATTGCTCGCATATCGGTTTATTATTTATAGGATTGGATGGCAAAATAGCCATATGGGATCTGGAGAACATGCAACAAGAACTTGGCAATCAGTTTTAATAAACACACAAATAAAACAAATCTGGATAATTCACTAGTAAGGTTACTTGATTAGTATACAATTTCATAATTGTTACATTTCGTAAACTATAATAAAGGCCTCGTTTTCTTGATTTGTGTAAGGGCAGGGCAGGTGTTATTAAGTTTGGAGCTATATGTCCTTGTCTCTGGATCTTTGTAATATCTTGAATGCTGTATGATTTGATTCATTATAGTTAGCATCTTATAATACCTTTTTCTGAAGTATATTAACATTTTCAGCTTTGTGCCGAATGAGTTCTCTGAACAACAACATACTCTGCAGAAATGAATGCTAAATGAATTTTTTCATCTGAGCTGATATAAAATACAATCGAGAAGAACAATATCTGCAAATCCATAGCAGACAGATTGACAGAGATAACATTTGGAATGTATCCCCTAATCATTCTCACTTATTGCAAATTTGACTACTGTCATAAGCTACTTCCAGAATACCTATAACTGTAAGCTTTTCCAGCATAAAAGATGTAATGCAGAAGCAAATATGCAAAGAAACACAACTTAAACGATCAATTATATGTCTCCAAGATCATTCCTTTTTGTCCCATAAGCAATGAAGTTGACACTAGTATCATCTGACATAATCATTGGGGATCCGAAGCTCCTCTTAATTTCTGTGTTATCAAAACATGGCTTACATCAACTGAAGCACGTATTGTCTTCAGGGGCTAGAAAACTTGACCACTGGTGTGTGCCTTTACGAAGCTGCAAGAAGATACCAAATGTGAAACCAAGAACACATGTCGGGAAAATTCCAAGTGCGTGCAAATGTCTTCACTCAATTTCTGGACCACGTTCATGAGGTATATAACATTGTATCAACGAACTCTTAAATCTTGATTTCCACCCAAACTGATCTAAATGAAAGCATTTCAGCTGCCCCATGATTGAAATCACAGATTCCATCTTGATCTTGCATCCCCGGAGAACAAGTAGGCCGCATCTGTGACCTTCTAAACAAAATCCGATCGTGGATTTTTCTCTGGGAAAGTGATGTTTAGGGAAAACTTTATCTATATAGTCTGCCACCTCTGAGACATGGTGCTTTTGCTGTAAGCTACGGACTACGGAGATCACAAGATGCTTGTAAATCATATGTAAACAAGCTGTTTGTCCGAAGAGTTATTGAGATTTAGTAATTCTCAGCACATAATGTTTCAACTTTACCAGAATGTTCTTATTGGGTGTCACTGAAGAGAATCTGATAAAACCTTTTCCTCTCTTCTGGATCAAACAGACCACCTGGTCGATCCCCATGGTTTTCTTCTTCATCGACATCATCTCCATCATGATTCCTGTCTTTCTTTCGCACCACAGGCTTCAAAGATTCTATACCTTTCTCTCTCTTCTTCTCTAGATTAGCCAAATATCGCCTGTGATTATACTCATACAAGCCCTGCTGCATCAGTTCCCCAAATTTTTCCTTCACAACAACGAGCGGGTCCTTGTTAATCAATTCCGAGCCATTGTATCCTTCTCTAAGGATCACAGTGTGAACCTGATACTTGTTTGCGACGTAGAATATGCCTGGATGCTTCAGAAGCATAGCATTTAGCTTCTCCGGCAACCCAAATTCCCTCTTGAAATGACTCAGCTTTACGATTGACAGCTTCTTCCACAACGTCAACCAGAGTAACTCGTGCACCAAACCAACACTTCTCTTCTCACTCTCCTTTGAACCCTCGACAAGACCCCCATGATCCTCATACGGAGATATGTAAGGAAAGGCATTAAATTCCATGAACCTCTCCCACGGTTTGGTCCATGTGGAAGGTAAAGAGCAAGAGAAACTAGGCTCAGAGCCACATTTCTTTGCTGCTGCTTCCACTGCAGAAACAGCCAACTCAGGCTTCCACAACAAAAGCTCGATCTCCATTGAACTCTTCCTCCCACTATAATTTACTAATCGAAACACATCTGAGTACTTCGGTAGTATCCTGATAACATAATCATCGGGGAATCCAAAACTCCGCTTAAACTCATTAAGCTTCACGACATTAAGACGCTGATTAACACTCAACATAAGCAGCTTTGCAAGCCGATCTGCAAGCACAGGCTCTTGTGTATCTTTGACTAACTCTTCTTCTTCCACAAGCGTCATCATGGGTTTCGTTAACCGACAGTAATACTCATCGTTCTCGAGATAAACGTGGAAACAACAAGGGTACTTCTTAAGCCAATTCAAGGCTTTCCCCTGAAGATCAAGAGTCTTAAACTTCTTCTGTAGAAACTTAACCGATGCAACCTGGTTGGGACACCTTAAGATAATGTTCTTGAGCCGACTGTTAACTATCCATCGCTTGTTACGCGAGAGAGCAGATTCGAGATCAGGGTCTTTCTTCGTAGACCAAAGTGAGAATCTTCGGATTAACAATGGAACATACTTGGTGCCCAGAATTCCATATAACTCTCGTGTCATAGCCATATCAGTGTCTGATTACCAAACCTAATCAAAGCTTCAATCTTAGATATTGGCAAGTATTACTCAAACTCAAACTCCAATTATTGACGAATGCGATTGGTTAGAAGCAAAAGGAAATAGAAAAGTCCTCACCTTTAGAGTATGATTGGAGCAGAAAGGAGAAGCCTTTGAAGTCGATTCATCAATAACGCCACAGTTTCGACAAGAGGTAAAGAAGAGATTTTGATTCTGCAAGATTAGTTGGGTTATAAATCAGAGATTCTAAAAGGAACAGATTTTATGCCCTAAATGTGCAACGAAGACACTGAGGCAGAGCAGAGACTGTGAAAGTGAAAGAAATTGATTTGTTGGGTTTAGTGTTTTACTCAGTTTTGATTAATGATAGTTTTTACATTGTTTGCATTTGTGTGAGACCATCTTTTAATCATTTATGCTTGCAAATTTCGAACCATTAACTTATAATCCAATTCCACAGCTTACAAATTGATTTGTTGAACAACTCAAACGTAGGAAGAAAATCCAAGTTTCAAGTCATGTATATTCAAACTTCAAAGGGTCCACACGAAAGAAAAGAAATGCAAATCATAAACACACTAAAAACTCAACTTTTAAAACCTAATTTTTTTACACAAAAAATCAAAACAAACAAATGAAGTATTGCAGTGAGTGTCACAACAACACTGTACAACCCCACACAAGCCTATTCTTTATCTTATGTAAACGCAAACTCTGCTACCACGCCTGCTACCGCTTGCCATTGGCCTTTGGTTGAAATATTTGCACCAGAGACCACAAAATGTCCATCCTCTGCATTACTTTGCTGTTTTGGCTCTGCCATTCATATATCACCATGTCAGATATTAGTCAGTCATATATATTTATACTAATCCAAAGTTCAAACAAAAACCAAGAAAAGAACTTTGATTTGCTTTGGAATCTCTTTCAAGAATTGGGTAAATTACCTCAGTTACAAAGCATATCCATGTTTTCTCGCCCTGAGTCTCGGTGATTCCTCTTAAGATGATGAGGTCTAAGCTCCTAATCACGTTTGCTATCTCAAGAAAATGGGTACATTCTTCACATAACATCTGTCCAATACCCAAAAATACTTTCAATCTAAGACTTAGATACACACAGCAGGTTGCACAAAGAGAAAAGAAGAAAAAAAAGAACTTGGGACTCGAGTTCAAACAAAGCTAAACTAAACAAAAGAAAAAAAAACAAAGAGTAAGATTACATACCTCGATGAGCACCATCCCCTGCTTGTTCAGATTCTCCACGATGATCGAGCATACTTGAAGATGGCCTCCAACCTCCACTGCGCAGCTTGAACCTTGCATACCAGTTTCCTTTTGTTGCATCTGAGATTACAAAGGTATAAGCTAATTTTGATATTTACTTCTGATTTTCAGTTGAGTTTTTCTATATATCTCCTGCCCATCCTATCTTCTCATTAAAGGATTCAGAAATTTGACCCAATATTTGCTACATCATTCTATCAAACATAACAAACTGCTTAATATGTTCATTTACAAACTACGGAGGCTGGAATAAAAATTTCTAGGATAGAACAGAGATTGTTAGTATCAAGAAAGCTGACTTTTTTTACCTTTGCATTAGCACTTTTACTGAGCTTGTCAGCATGCTTAGTAACATTCTGCAAAAAGAGCATGTGCTTGATCGTGCGTTCGAGCAAAGAATCAATACTGCACTGTAAATATGACAACAATATTAGCGAATGACAAAAACATATTACAACTGAAAATCACTACAATGATGCACAAGTAACCTTGTAGCTAGTAAGAGAAAAGTCACCTTAGCTCCATTAGGTACAAGTTCTCTAAGTTCCTTGATTCGATCCTGAATGAGTTGTCTGTCTCTTGGGCGAGGTCGAGAACTTTCACCAGGCTTGGCCCTCTTTTTGTTCTTCTTGGGCATGTCCAGGGATGTCTGAAACTGATCACTAGAGGAGCTGGGATACGTAGATGAGAACCCAATCGAAGAAAATGCTCCACAGATATCTGATGAATTTTGTTGGATATCCACCTCTGCAAGTGGTAGCTGATTCATAGCACTATCAATTGGGTTAACAATATTATGCTTCTTTTGACCTGAGGGTTCTGCAAGTTCCATGCTGGTAAGCAATGATTGTACCGATCTGCTCAACAACATATCATCCCTGGAATTACCATCGCTTTGACACACATTAGCAACCACAGCATCTAGAAGATTCTCAGGGCCAGAGTCAAATGTCAGCTGGCTATGACTCATATCATCTGTTGGTCTCATTGTTGAGCCATGTTCAGACTTCAGTAGCTCCTCCTGACCAGTGCACGCTTGCTTGAAAGCAGAGCCTAACGCCTCTAGTAGCTCGCTGCCACCAAAAGTATAACCAGATGACATCAAAGCATCAAATTGACTAGACTCGCAGTTCCGCCCCAGCATACGCTCAGTCTCTTTTATGTCTTTATTTCCGTGGTTCTCCGATAGTTGGAATACTTCGTTTTGATAAGAACTTTCTTTATCTGTTCTCGACATAGCCTGAAGAGTTGAGTCCAGGCCTGGATATGATTGGCCTGTTATCAATCTTTCAGCCTCAATTGCTAAAGCAGATGAGCTTGTATTATTGAGCACATGATTCTTCATATACTTATGAAAATTAGGATCTAATCCTCTTGGATCTTTGCAGCCACTAGTCATTCCCACATGAGGTGCATCACTGATTATATTTGTACCTACTTGATTCTCATGTTTGGCACCAACCAAGTCAACTGGAAAGCCACACGTAACACCGCTATAGCTCCCACACGTAGATCCTTGCACCACTTCACGACCACCGACAACTTGAGCTGTCTTCTCCATGACAAGACATGACGAGGGAGTATTGTAAGGCATGCTATCACTTCTTCTAGTTTTGTATTGAGTTAAAATATTGGATTCTTCCACATCCATAGCTTTGTCAACTTCTCCAGAGCAATCAGGGAAAGCCTCGGCATGTAAGCCTTCAGAAGGCATATTTGGCTGCAAAAATATTATACAACACATCATGGTCTACTCAGGAAGTCAATGGTCTACTCAGGAAGTCAGTGGAGGTTTGAGGAATTGTTAGAAGAACCCTACGCACTTTACTCTCCCCATTTTGCAAATAACAAGAAATCTGGAGAAACATGAATCCATATTTGAATGAAGAAGATCTTTACCAGACATAACGAATTGTTCATATTACATTGCATTAAATTTGCTGCATGATCTGCCAATGGATCCCTAAGTGCCAGAAATAAATGTCGGATATGATTCACCAAATTCACATCTTCATTAACCTGCTCCAAACAAGTACACAATAAGACCAGATACGTTCATATTCTCCATGCATTATACGTGCGCAGGCTTTCGCCTGGCTATTATTTTGTAACTACAAACACTGTATCCAATATTAAGACCTTACTTACTTTACACAAAGAGCCTAGCTGCACTACTCCATATCGACCAACAGCTACTACAAGAATGGTCTGCGGAGAAGGAAGAACAGATATTTTAAGAAGGGAAGTCTCCAATGGCAAACTTTGAGGAAGTTCTTGACATGCATGTAATAAAGCAAACAAAAAGAACACTAAAGAAAAATCTCAAATACCTTAATTCCAGCAGAAATTTGACTCTCCCAAACGTTATGAAACTGTAATTAAAAATAGAGATATCTTGTTTAAAAACACAAAGAAACAAAATTCAATTTAAGAGAGGAAGTTCCTAACCTCAAATGCTGAGTGACAGTTGTCATAATTTTCGGGGAATACCCATTGGTGTTCTCCAGAAACTGCGACTTGTCCTACAATCCTGTTTAGATAGACATAATTCAATAAGAACCCCAAGATTTGTAACTAAGGTAAAAGCTCCTGCTGCATCAAGTCCCAAGATAGTATCTTGAAGATACAACAAAAGGTTTGCATTATGCAGCAGCTACTGTCAAAGAAAAAAAGAAGGAAAAAGAGCACATCAAACTATAACTGCCAAATTCCAGACTGTGCCATACGCTGTTAATCAAAAGACGCCCAGCATTGAATTTTTCGAAGATAAACATGAATGCATAGTTAAAAAGATGAAGTCGAGAAGGAGTGCATCAGAAATCAATTTATTCTTACCCTTCCCCTAGAGAATAGACATGATAAGACATCTTTGCCACAGCTAACCCAAGGGGGTCATGTGTTCCATGCATATTCGTCCCATGATGGTCATAGTAAGCATCCTCCAAGGTAAGTACCCTACAGATGTTCAATGTTCTAAAAAATGAGAAACTATCTGGTCAACTAAAACTCTAAAACATATAAAGTAATAGAATCCTTAATTGCACACAATACCCAAGAGTACAGACACAGTCTTCAGATACTTAAACTAAGATTGCTAACATAAAGCTGCAATTCGATATAAAGTTCCATATTTCCACACTAGCAAGTTGGAGTCAATACACCTAAATCAATAACCACAGTTCTAATTCGTAGACAATTATAATGGTCCACCAAGCAAAGACAGTAAAGAGAATTGTTTAGATGACTCACATTCGAGATCCTCGGTGTTTAAGTTGCCAGAACACAGCATAGTTCCAGTCCGTGTTAGAGCAAAAGCTCCTCAGTATCTCTTGAGAAGTAGAACCCATTCTAAAGGGCAAAACCAAAACCCCCCTCTAATGGTAAGCCAAATCAAGAACGACAAATCAAAACAGACAGAAAGTTTTTTTGATTCTTGACAAAATTTGTGTCCGAAGGAAGAAAACCAAAACCTATTTTTTACACTATATCCTCCCCAACCTCTAAAAAAGATTGTCCTTTTCGATGAGATACAAAGTAACTAACTACCTCTGTAAGAACCTCTTCCAGCTTGTTCCCTTCGTAAACCAGCTCTTGGTTTTATGGGCGGACCTACTTCATCTTGTGATATTTGCCTCTTACCCATCCCTCCCCAAGATACAAACTTTGAATCGGAGTACGCAAAACCAAAAAGGAAACTAATTTAACCCTAGCTCAAACAAAAACACCGAGAGAATCAGAATTTGAAACAGCTGGAAACAGAGATAGATCTGCTGCGACTACTACTACTCGCCATCTGAGAAATCAAGATTGAAAATTCGAAAGCTAAGGAAGAAGAAGAAGAAGACAGTGGAAATGAAAGCAGAGAGATTGTACGAAAGAAGAGAGTTTAGCTTATGTCAGAAGACATTGATTAACTTCAAGAATTGATCTCAGCATACTCTGCATCACTCAGAAAAATCTTACAATCTCAGCCGAGAAATTCGCCGGAAAAAAGGAAAGAACAGAGATAGAGAGAGAGAGTAAAGGAGGCAGATGTATCTAAAAGACGTTCCTTTTTAAAAGGGTGAAAGAAGAAATCGAGCAAGTAAGCGGGCGAATCACGCACCATGCTCATTTTAGCAACTCAAGAGGAAGGATCGGTGTGCGCATTTTAGCAATCTTTGGTAGTGGGATGGTGAGTGTGTTTTGAGGGTATGTGGATTTTATGAAGGAGATGTGAGCTCTCTCTCTCTCTAATAGTGTGTGTAAAATGGCCAGCAAAATGATTCACCAACTGAAATTCTTGCTTCCTTCTTACTTTCTTTTTTACCTTTCATTCTCATTAAATCACAAATTAACAAAATATTACACATTGCTCTAATTTTGTTTTGTGTTGATATACAACTACAACATCACAATCCTTTTGTAAAAAACTATTTTTCTAGTAAATGTTTTCCTTTTTCGTATTCTTTTATAAAGATGAAATTAACTATGATTATAATTATTTTAATCGGATGTCCAGACATGAATTAATCAAATAAAGTTCGGGTGCTTTCAACCATCTTAGTGGCCTTCTAGAAGTCTTTGTGACCGATTTTTAGAATGATATATGTTTTATATCATAAAATTATTTACCGGTTCATTTCAGTAAATAATTGAACCTACTGATCAAAAAAATTGTTCGGTTATTTTCGACACAATTATCACTAACCTTCTAATTTCATAAAATAAAATTTTCTAAAATAATTACGGTTTCCAAGAAAAAATTAATAAGTTCAAATTTTTGTTTAATTTTTTGCAATGAATTTGAGGATATTCAGCTTTACAAAAAAAATGATTTCATTTGCCAATATAAAGGTGAAACATATTGGACTTTATAACTTGTCCATACATATTCCACAAAATGATTAAATATATCGCTTCTTTTTATTTCCCTTTTTGTATTGTCAACAAAAATCCAATGTCTTTTTTCATACTCACTCATTTTGTCTTGCTTACCATAATCATCCTTGGACAAAGCAAATTCACATCGAATAATTTATGTGCTGGCCTATGCTATTTTTAGTTGCGGGTCCGTTATATAACCAAAATCACATAACTAATTATCACTAATTTTCGTCAAAACTTAAAATCACCTTTAAATTGAAATATTGATTATTTAATTTTTTTGTAAAATTTAGACGCAAGTTAAACAGCAGAGAACATCCAATGCTTATAGTAGGATGTTCAATCCAAACAAACCAAACCGGCTCAATCTAACACCGAACCGAAAACAACTGATTCAACAAGCAAACGAAACCTTAATTTGATTATGTTCGATATTTTTGTGATTTAATCAACCGAGATCAAATCTGATCCAAATCAAATATGTAAAATATAAAACCAAAACGTTTTTAGAACATAAAGATATAGGTAATTGAATCATAACCAAAATTGAAATCGCATCAAACCACTTTCAGTCGGAAACATTTTTTAGATATATAATTCGGAAAAAAATTAACTGTTAAAACTAACCAAAATTTATTTAAAATAACTATTTGCTATTTTGAAGCTAAATTTTTCAAGTGTATGAGTATTTCTGCAAAAAGAAAAAAAAAATAGTAAATTCGAATTGACCGCCTAGAACATTTCCTAGTCCTAGTTATTTTTTAGATGTTGGTATTTCCCCTTTGGATCCACTCTGTGTAAGCACATGTATCTTGGCAATTCACAAGTACTGTTTTATGTCGACCATTTGGTAAGTTCATTAAGAACCCATGGGTTGAGAGTAATTTGAAATGTGTATAATCTGATTTTGAGTTCCACTTAGAAATTAAAAATGATATGATGATGTTTTACAATTGATTGCTCATAATATTCTATCTGGAGGCTCTTATTATATGCTCTCATGACTTGTTCCCATCAATGTGTTCTAATGCAACGCACCAACTCAACATCTCTTTCCTCCTTTTCATCATTTTTATCTTTTACTTCTTTAGCTGAAATTCAATTAATATCCTATATAAATATATTATCCCTCATTTTGAATCATATTTTTTCCTGCTTTATTTCAGTTATTTCCATTTTAAAATTTTAAATCTTGTAAAATTATTCTAAACTATGTTTTAAGACATACGATTAGACAAAACTATAAATTATATTGCATCATTAGGTTATATATACATGGAGAATTTTTTGTTAAATATTCATGACATTATCGCCTTTGGAGTATGTCACTGAGATTTGAGATTGCTAAAGACTTTTTTTTTCACTTAGGCGCTACCGCCCATTTATGATCTTTTTCCTTTAAGCCAATATCACACTTAATTTTGCGAGTTCTTTGTTTTTAATATGTTTATATTTTAACATTTCATAATAAATTAGAGAGATCAGTATCGGTTTGGATGATGAATGACTTTGTTCAATTTCTTCATTTTGTACGTAAGAAAATATTATTTTGCTAAGAAATGTGATTTCAGAGTGTTTATATGTTTTTAGAATTTTTTTTTAGAGAACCTACAAAATAATAAATAAAAGGATACAGGTGCACTTTTGTTGAATATTCATAATTTTCTATTCCACCGAAAATTATAGTAATTGATTTCTATATGTTTCCGAAAGTTAGCATTAATTAGATCAAAGCATGCCTGTATCAAATTGTTTCAATGTCTTTTAAATGAAAGAGCTTTTGATAATAATGTTTTAGTGGATAACGTTTGAACTATAATGACTTGGTCCGTAACCGATAAGCCATGCAACTAATTCCTTTAATTATTTATTTGGTAATGAATTAAAAGAAATACATTTGGTTTTAAGTGCTTGTTATTCTTTTTTCTTTTTTCTTTTTGTCAACCACAGTGCTTTCTATTCTGTTCAATACTTTTTGTAAAAAAAAACATGTCTCACAAGGCTTCGTAATTTTAAGGGCATGACTTATATCTATTTTAGAGAATTTGTCTTTCATAAAAGTAAAGTCAAACAATTCTTTTCTCTACTAAACGCTCCAATTATGTATGGTAAATTAACTGGTTTATTAGTTTTGTAAAATATTGAATATCAATGCATTTTTGTAGAATTATATATCACATAGTTTACAGAAAAAAAAACTATAAATTACTGCAATAATAATTATGGTTTTAAGTTTTCCACAATATTCCAAAGATAAATACATGAAGGTGGGATATTAATATTCTTTGAGAAAGAAAACGAATCTTAAAAATAGATTCCAAAGTTAGGGTTTTGAAGGTTTCTCCAAAAAGGGAGTTGGGTCAGAAATTGCTTAAAAGAGTGGCAAAGGTCTCTCTTTTTTATTATTTTTCTTTTTAAAATTTTAATTTATTCTTATCTCTCTATTTTTTTCTTCTTTAATAAAATATTTTTTTATTTAGTACAGTATATTACTGTTTGGGAAAGGCTTTTTCAAAGGAAAACAATGAGACTTAGGAATATATGATGGGACTAGTTGTGGTCCATACAAGATCTAAGGAATCTAATCATTATTGTCCTTATAAAGAAAAAAAAGAGGAAATCTCACTCGATCTCTTATATACAAAATTCCATTTTTTCTTCTTCTTCTGATATATTCTTTTTGGCTCATTGGCCATGAAAATCCAAAACCTACCTCACTAGTAAGTGATATCTTCCATTTTTGTTTCTTGATGTATTTTATGGCTCTCTTTTTAATTTTTTATTTTTTGTTTGTAGTTTTACTTATTTCATTGATCATAGGTTGTTTATAGTATTATGTTAATTATGTGTATTGATGGCATGGAACAAAGTAAAATGAAGCTTTTTAAGTTGTAACAAGTAAGATGACTTAGAGAGTCAATAAAGATGACCGGCCTATAGTTGTTAATAGTGAGAATAGCTTGTATTAAATTGTTAATCTAGAACTCAAGAATCATCGGTCGTAAATAAAGAATATAAACTTAAACGAAGATTAATGAAAGAAAGAAAATTGCTTAATTTTTAAAGCCCAATAACTAACCCAAAACTATCATTCTAGGATTTAACATGTTAGCATTGTTCTGTTAAGCTTTCTGATACAAAAACTAATGATAAAATGACTCCTTATTAATAGAGAAATCAGAAATGACATAATGGTCGAAAATAGATTAACACACCCTCCTAAGTAGAATTTGGCCGTGTTCTTTTCACTGTCGCTAATTAGCTTTGACAGAGATGATAAACAGTGACCACAGTGTCGTTCAAAACAATCGCCAGAAAAAGTAGCGACACTAGCGACCGGTTGAAAGGTTGAGATTGCTGAAAGGTTGAGCTTTGAAGGTGTCGCTGGAATAATAAACAGAGAGAAAAACAGTGTAATTACGGTCGCCGGACGGTGTCGCTAGCGACAGTGAAAAGAACACGACCTTTGTCATCTAACTAAGCTGTTATAAAACGTAGTATAACCGCAGCCAATGGAACTGCGATCTCAAGAAAGCGGTGAAGCCATCTCTTGCTTGTTTTCTTCTTCTAGACGGGATCGAATTGTTAGGGGAGATGCCAATTTGTTTATGCTGCACATTAAAGATATTTACATGAGTAATCGAAAATCGAAAAACCCGAAAAAAGTTTGTCAAGTATGTATATGATGTTAAACTCACAATACTAGTAAATCTTCGCTTGATGATCTTTTTTCAGACATCCATTCCGGGACAAGCTCCTGCATTAGGATCAGTTGTTCTTCAACTTCTTCTGCAAAATGGAAGTGAATTAAGAACGGTTAGGATGGGTTTAAAACACCGAAAATCTATGTAAATGAAAGATATATTGAGATAATTCGCGGTTAAAGGGCTTACTTCTGTCGGTAATATCAGAATGACCGGCGATTATCTTATGCACAAGCTCTTCTTTTGTGATTACCCAACGCCTTATCGATTGAATTATGTAATGGATGACATCGAAAAGTTCAGGTAGACAAGCGATCATCTCTCGCCTTCTCTTTGCCAGTGAGATTGCTGGATTTTGATCCTCATTTGTTTTCATCTCTTGATCTTTTATCTGAAATGAGCAAAAAGAAGATGAATTATCTCAGTAAGGAAAGCTAATCTCAGTTTGTCCCTTTTAATCTCAAACTGAAAAGTATAATGTAATCACGAGAACATATGGAATATTACCGATTGTCGAAGCTTATCAGGAAGCATGCTGAGGATTTCTTCATCATTACTGGATACATCTTCTGGTACTTGAACAATGGTCTGATCAACTGTCACATCCATAGCTTTCTTGTCCTCAGTACAAGAATCAAAGTTGAGCAACAAGGAACGCCTCACAAGCTTAACCGGTGGATCAGTAGAAACACCATCTGCATTTGCAGAACCACTACTTCTTTTCTGCGAGCGAGCTTCCAGTGAAGTCCTGAACAGCCGGACAGGAGTTGAAGCAAATTCAGGTGGAGTCGAAGCAACAACAACTGGTGTTGAGTCAATTTTAGCAGGCGTTGAATGTACGATGTTAAACTCAGATGGAGTCGATGTGATGGGAGATGAAATCAATTTAGCTACTGGAATAGAAGCCATCTCTTCCATGACAGAACTAACACACTCAACCTCAACTTCTGAGTTTTCATTTGGTTTCCTTGTATTAAATAGCTCAGGAAGCGGTTCCTCTGGAACTTCATCACCCTAAAACAGATAATACACACCATTAGTACCTGAACTAAATCACACAAAAGGAACTACCATATCGAAAAAAGAACGGATTTTTGCATCATAGAGCATCATCATACCTGAGGATGAGTTTTAACAAACTCTGCAAGTCTTGCCCTGAATACTTTCCGGAGATTGATTCTCTTACTTTCCGATTTCGACGTGTCATCGTATTCAACTGCATCAGCGTTGAGTGAAACATGAAGATCTGGCTTCATACAGCAAGTTGTTTCATCATGTATCAATACTCTCTTAATCTCGCTTTAGTTGAGCCAAGTGACTGTAGCAAAAACTCCTGAATAATTGCATATATTCAAACCAAAATTAGATACACAACTCTAAGAAACAGATTCGTTAAATTGAATCTCTCAGAACTAGCTACAAGAGTTATTGGTGAATCCATCAAAAACCCAGATCTTAGCTATTCTAATCGAACCTATCAGATCAGATTCCAGATTCAGAATTGAAACTTTCAGGATTAATACCTTTGGGTTAAATGCTCGATTATCTTCGAAATGTTGGAAAATGTCGGCTTAGAACCTCTCAATTTTGATAATAGGATCGAACTATCCAACGCATCGAAGAATTTACCCAGAGTAGGGTTCTCCGGCGGCTTCTCCGGCGTGGGCAAGGATACAGAGGACATATTAGGGTTTCCGATCTGCGGTTTTGAACATGGAGAATCCATCGATAATCGTTTCTTCGATTTGAATGGAATGGATCTAGAAGAACCCGATGCACTCATTTTGCAACAAAGTTTATGAAAGATTGAAGGAGCGAGAGATCGGCCACGATGATGAAGAAGAAGGGTTTAGTATTTATTTTGGGTATTTGGCGCGAATCCGTCTTGTGATTGTGCCACGTGGACTCCCGCCGAATTCCATCCGTTTACTTCGCGCGAATTTCTTAACCTTGTGGAAGCCCATGAGGCCCAAATGATGCTCTCAGAAACAGTTCTCTCCTTTTTTTTTCTTTTTTTTTTTTTGTGCAGATAAACATAAATTTTTAAGTGAATAATATAAATTTTTTACTTGTGTTGAAGCTAACAAAAATTTGAAGAAAATTGGATGACCAAACTAGCAGAAAACACTTTCATTTTCAAATACAAAAACTGACGGAGTCGGTTCTCTTAGTTAAATGAGACGGGAGCTCCAAACGGCATGTTTGGAGCTTCGGGAAAGGAATACGAAGTGGTAGGATACAAGCGGAAATCGAAGAGCATCAATGCTAACATATATATAAAAATGTTAACGGATATAAGAGAATGCAGGAAAGTTTTATTCAAATACAGAACATAATCAGAAAGAGAATTGTCATCAAGGATTTAGGTATGTCAACCTTGTTCTATTAAGAATTCTGTTACAAAATGCATCTCCTTATTGATAGAGAAATAACTTAATGGTCAAAATTCAAAAATAGATTAAAACACCTTCCTAAATAGTTTGTCATCTACTTGTTTTCACCCTTTTACATTTCCTTACTTATAACTTAGTCTCTACACATTTGTCCCATGAATAGACTAACATATTTGGCAGTCCAAAAAAAAGTTAGAAACCAAAGTAACCGCAGCCGATGTATCAAAGATTGAACTCATTGTAGTATTTTCCCAGATTTAGTTATGTAATAGTAAATATGATTGAAATTAAGTAACCACGATCTCACGAAACCAGTGGAGACATCTCTTGCTTGTTTTCTTCTTCAAGACGTGATCGGATTGTTAGGGGAGATGCCAATTTGTTTATGCTGCACATTAAAGATGCTTACATGAGCAATCGAAACACCAAGAAAAAGTGAGTTAAGTATGAGTGTGATATTAGACTCACCATACTAGCACATCTCCACTTGATGATTTTTTCTCAGACATCCATTCCGGGACAAGTTCTTGCAGTAAGATAAGCTGTTCTTCAACTTCCTCTGAAAAACACAAGTGAAAAGAGAACAGTTAGGATGGTTTTCAAACAATGTAAAGAAAAGTTATATTGAGATACTTAGCGGTTAGAGGGCTTACTTCTGTCAGTAATATCAGAATGACCAGCAATGATCTTGTGCACAAGCTCTTCTTTTGTGATAACCCAACGCCTTATCGATTGAATTAAGTAATGAATGACATTGAAAAGTTTGGGTAGACAAGCAATCATCTTTCGCCTTCTTTTTGCCAGAGAGATTGCTGGGTTTTGATCCTCAATCGCTTTCCTCTCTTGTTCTTTTATCTGAAATGAGCAGAAAGAAGATCATCTATCTCAGTAAGCAAAGCCAATCTCAGTCTGTACTTCTTAATCTCAAACTGAAAAGTATAAAATAATAAATAATTACGAGAAGAAAAGGAATCACTAATAGAGATGTATTACCGCATGTCGAAGTTTATCAGGAAGTATGCTGAGGATTTCATCATCGCTAGATAGATCTTCTGGTACTTCATCAATGGGTTCATCATCTGAGAAATCCATAGCTTTCTCATCCTCAGGATAAGAATCAAAGTTCAGAGACAAGGAACGCCTCACGAGCTTAGTTGGTGGGTCAGCAGATATATCATCTTGATTTGTATGACCGCTGCTTCTTTTCAGCGGACGAGCTGCCAGAGACGTACTCATCAGCCGGGCAGGAGTTGAAGCAAATTCAGGTGGAGTTGAAGCAAATTCAGGTGGAGTTGAAGCAGCAATGACTGGTGTCGAGTCAATTATAGCCGGTGTTGAAGGAATGTTAGACAGAGTTGACACTGATTTGACTGGAGTTGGCAAGATGTTAATCTCAGACGAAGTCGGTTTAGCAGGAGTTGAAGTTGGTGCAATGTTAATCTGAGACGCAGTTGGTTTGGTCGGACTTGAACTTGTTTTGACTGGAGTGGATGTGATGGGAGATGAAAACAATTTAGCTGCTGGAATAGAAGCCATCTCTTCCATGAGAGAACTAACACTCTTGACTTCAACTTTTGAGTTTTCATCTGGTTTCCTCCTATTGAATGGCTCAGGAAGCGGTTCCTCTGGAACTTCATCACCCTAAAACAGATAATAAACACCATTACTACCTGAACTAAAATTACACAAAAGTAACTACCATAACATTAAGAGAACACATTTTTCGCATCATAATACCTGAGGATGAGCTTTAACAAACTCTGCAAGTCTAGCCCGAAACACTTTCCGAAGAGCGATTTTCTTACTTTCGGATTTCGACTTATCTTTGTATTCAACAGCATCGGCATTGAGGGTAATATGAAGGTCCGGTTTCATACAGCAAGTTCTTTCATCATGTATCAATACTCTCTTAATCTCTATCGCTTCTCGCAATATATGCTTTATTTGAGCCAAGTGACTATAACAAAACCTCCTGAAATATATTCAAACACAGAATTAGATCCACACACCAGAAACAGACTCGTGAATATCTAAAATCTAGAAAAGTTATCTGTGAAATCTATAAAACCCAGATCTAAAGTATTCTTTTGTCTCATCGAACCTATAAAGTATAAAAGGCAAAGATCAAAATGGTTTATTTATTCAGATCAGATCCCATTAGTGACAATATAAACACGATCTAGATTATTAATTTGTCTCATCCAGTCTATAAAGTTTAAAGGCAATAACCAAATTTGGCTTATTTATTCAGATCAGATCCAATTAGTGACAATCATACCTCTCGGTTAAATGCTCGATTTGTTTAGAAATGTTGGAAAATGTTGGTTTAGAACCTCTTAATTTCGATAATAACATCGAATTATCCAATGCTTCAAAGAACTTTCCCAGATTCTCGTACCTGCACAAATCCAAAACCTAATCAGTAAAAAGGGGAAAAAATTGAATTTTTTTTATAAACCCTAGAAATTAAACTTACTTCTCCGGAAGTTTCTCTTTTTCTGCATTTTTATTAGAGCTAATTCGTTTTGAAGGCGAAGAGGATGGTGAATCGTTGTGAGAAAAAAAGAGCTTGCTTTTAGCGGATGAAGCAACCGGATCTTCAGATCTACGACGAGATCCAGCCGCTTGACGAATCTCTTTCACTGATAAAGCCACAGATCGGTTTCTTGATCTACTAAGCATGTTCTCAAGCGGTTTCTCCGGTGTAGGTAAAGCTACAGAAGACGGATTTGGATTCCCGGTTTGAGATTTTGAAGACGGCGAATCCATCACTAACCGTTTCTTCGATTTGAAGGGAATGGATCTAGAAGAACCCGGTGCACTCATTTTTTTCAACAATGTCTATAGAGTATCAGATGCAGAGATGAGAGAGATGAAGACGACGACGAAGAAGAAAGGGTTTAGATTTATTTAGGTCTTTGGCGCGCAATCTGACGTGTACCAGAGCCACGTATGCCTCCCGCGCCTATTAACCCGTTGCTTCCCGCGAAAACATTATCCCCAAAGAAGCCCATTAATTAGGCCCATTATGAATTGCTGTCTCTGAATAGATCAACAAAGATTCTTTGTTCAACTTGTTGTGAATTTATATAAACATTTTAATAACTTTTGACTACTTAAAATACAATATGAACAAGTTTATATGGTCTTCATGCAATGTTAATGCTAGTTCAGTATTTATAGATTCTTTGAAAAATCAAAGATAATCATCATAAGGAATCTTATCAACAATAAAATATAAAGATAAAACAGTTAGCCCAGCAAATCAAATATAATCAATGGTTTAGTTTATGTTTTCTATGTTTCTCTTTCTAAACTTTGAATATTTTTACCACATCCCCATTTTAAATCATAGAATTAAGCAGTTTTTAAATGATTATGAGATTCTTTTCAATTGTCATTTCTACTATTTTATTACTAACAAAACTTCAAATTGTTTATTAAATGTTAGATTTTCCGCTATTGTTACTTCTATATATATTTTACGTTTTACTTATTTAGGTTCGTCGTTTCTATTTTATTTTTATATAATATTTGTTAATTGAGAAAATCTATATAAAGTCATGAAATGAGTATCATCACAAAAAAATACACATAAATCATTGTTTACGTCAATATATAAAGACTAAAGTTTTGATGATTAAAATAAGAAACACAAATTTCTATTTCTTTTATCGGTTTATAATCTAGTTCTCATAAGTAGTTCAACATAAAACATAATACCGTTAGCCAAAAACATATGATATAAAAATCTTCTATGAAAATACAACAAATTGCAACGATCTCAATACATTACATGAGTTTCACAATTTATTTATTTTTAATGATAAAAATATAGAAATGAAATATAAATTCCAATTCTTATGTATCAATTTTCATTATATTATATTCTGAATGGGAAGATTGGATACCTAAACTTTGTTTACAGAATCTAATTTGGATTAATTATTGGCAATTAAAAACTTTCATGAGTTTTCTTTTTTTTTAAAATCTTTGATTAACAATAAAAATTTAAAGGGGCTAGATGAATCAATTTGGATTATAAAGTTTTATATTTAGTGAGTCAGTCTTAGAGATCAAATAGTGAGTCAGTAAACCCATTGACATAAATTTTGGATCTATCAGTCTCTGAGAATATTGACTAACTATCATATTTTCAAAACTCACTATTATTTTTTGGGTCTGTTTAGAATCTGGGCTGGTGCCCACTCAAAACAATCAGCCCATTATACAAGTTGTTAAAATAAAATTTAATATATCACATTAAAAAAAAAAAACAATTTTTGGCTTCAAGACTTTTTTTGGTGTGTGCAAAGACTTTTTGGCTTCAAGCTAATAAATGTTAGATTACCTTCTTAACCAAGGATCGAAGTAAATCCTAGAACAAAAAAAAAGGGAAGAGAAGAGAACTCGTTATCACGTTTCTTTGGTTTAAGTATTGTGTTGTAGAGAAGAGAAGAGAAGAGGAAGAAGAAAAGCCCAAATCCAAAATTGAGAACAAGTACTACACATACAAACTCCAAAGCATCAATATTTTATCACTCCTCTTTTCTTCCACGCAAACCCAATTCTCTTCTTCTTCTTCTTTTTCTTTTCTTCCCTAAATCGTTAATCTTTCGTCGATCAAATTCGCTCTTCTCTTTTCAACTTCTTCATCGCGTTTTCACTGCCCTAGCCTCGGAATTTGATTCGTCCTTCTTTAAAGCTTCGGCTTTTAAGACAATTAAATCTTGCTAGCTGCTTCGCTTTCACGGCTTTCTAATTGCTGTTCCTTTCGTGGGTCGCTGGTAAGTTTTGATCTTTTTTCATTTGTTGTTATCAATAAAGTTCCATTTTTTTTTGGATAATCGCACAGTGATTTAAGGTTGGAGGAGATTATACTGTTAGCTTAAGGGTTTTTGAGGTTTCAATTTAGAATCGGATTGCTCCTGATCAAATCCCTGTTATAAGTAGATAAAGCCTTATTCTATTGGGAAGGAATTCGCCTTTTCTGCTTCGTCTTCTTGTGAATAAAGAGTTGGTTTTAAGGAATTGACTTTGATCAAGGTATATTTGTTGTGTGCAAAGGTTGCGTGAACCTTGTTTCAGCCTCTTGATTGAGTATAGATTACTATTATCTACGCTGTGTTTGAGTGCTTTCTCATATTGCAATGTTTCATTTACTTTTATTGGAGAGAACGAAGCCGTGTTCGCTTTCTCTGCACCATCAATTGTCATCAGAATGCTAGGCGTTTAGTGCATTGTCCATAGATTCTGCTAGTGCGATGGTGGGTCTAGTTTATATCCATCATGGTGGAAAACTGTTACAGAAACATGTCTTTAGCAGGTTATGCCACGACTTCCAGATCCTTGGTTTGTCTTTCTGCTTTAAGAATTTGATTTGCTTTGTGTCTCATCGGTTATTATTTTCTTTGTATGTGCTTCTAGCTTGAACATTTTGGTGGCACTTTTTTGTTTGCATGCATAAATTATCTCTGACATTAGTGGTTTGCATTGTGGATGCTTTATGTTATTCATGTTTGATGCAGGATTTGTAGCTGCATTCTCATTGGGCACTACACGCCCTTCAAATTTCCACGAGGTAAGCAGGGAATGGACCGGCTGTTTTGGCCAATCGTCCGTGTTTACAAATGATGAGCAGTGGGCATAAGGGTCCAAATGTACGTAACTTTTTTAAATGGCAACGTGGTGAATCATCATCGTCTTTGACTACTGGATTGCTTCATAATGAGTCACATGAGATTGAGCTATCTAACTACGGAGGAATACCAAGTCCTGGTAGTGAGAGCCCATCGGGACTTCTTAATGGAGAGAGTTTAAATGTTCAACCAATTGCTGATTTGGATCTTTTTGTCGAAAGGCTCTACAGCTACTATAGAGACAAAGGCCTTTGGTGTATTATCGTAAAGTGGGCTGTTGAGCTTCTAAGTCTGGGCTTCATCATATGCTTCTCTGGGTTTTTCTTGCTGTATGTTGATTGGAATGGTCTTCAGAATGCAAAATGTGGAATGGATGCAGTTGAATCAGGAACTAAGCCATGTGATCTTGTAAAAGAAGCTATCCATCCGCATCCTTTGTCCCCTTTCACGCTCACAACTGCTATAATTGTTGGATATTTGGCCCTCTTCTCTGTGTACTGGCTCTTCTGCTTCTTAAGGTTCTTTGCCCAATTGAAAGATACTTTGGACTTTCGGCACTTCTATTACAACAAGTAAGTTGGAAGTTGCAACATGCTAGAAATAGTTCTTGCTAGAACAAAACATGTATCTTAGGCCATAATTGATTTTCTTTTTGTTATAAATTTGCAGTCTCCATGTCACAGACAATGAAATCCTTACTATGCCATGGGCAACAGTCCTTGAGAAGGTTGTTCAGTTACAAAGCTCACAATGCCTTTGTGTGGTTAAGGATCTTTCTGCTCATGATATGGTTATGCGCCTTATGCGGAAAGAAAACTACTTGATTGGAATGCTCAACAAAGGTTTGCTTTCTTTCCCAATCTCCCATTGGATCCCTGGTGCTGGTCCAGCAGTCAAATCTGCACCAGATGGGACACAGTATCACCTTGTATTGACAAAGACCCTTGAGTGGACCCTTAACTGGTGCATATTGCAGAGCATGTTTGACTGGTATGCTATTCTCATCGCTAAGCGTTGATCTAATCTGAAAACTGCTTTCTAGTAACATTGTAGATATAGGATTATATGAACTGCTATAGTGATAAATTGAGAGTTTGTGTTATATGTAATGCAGATGAAAGTTTCAATTTTCATGATTTGCTTTTTCTTGGTCAGACTATAGTGATCTTTTTCAAGTTAATAGGATTGTCCTGTTAGATTTTTTGTCCCTGTATATATATTACGTCAGTGAAAAATTGCGTAAGTTAATAAGATTGTCCTGTTAGATCCTACATGGGAGTGGCCGAAGTGCGTGTATGTTATATCTCATATTCATTTTTAACTACTACCGTGAAGAGTAAGGCCATAGCATGAAAAGTTCCTTGCACATGCTAAGTATTGTCCGTTTTCTCTAATTCAGGCGTTTTCATTCTGCAGCAATTTTCGTGTTAGAAGGGACTTTGTTTCAAATCCTACAACATTGAAGAAACGACTATTTGTGGTTGGGCTTGCTATGCTTCTGCTGTCACCATTTCTTGTCATCTTTATGTTGGTGTATTTATTCCTAAGGCATGCTGAACAGTTCTACAATCATCCAAGTACTGCATCTTCTCGAAGATGGTCCAATTTGTCAAAGTGGCTCTTCAGGGAATTCAATGAGGTAGTTTCCTTCATCTGGCGTCCATGCCCACAAAAGTCATGTGAATGGAATTTAATTCTGGTTTCTTAGTAAACCCTTGAAATTTTCTGACTTCTCCTTTCAAAATATATGTGATGTCTTTTCTAAACTTCTTGTTTCTACAACAGGTTGACCATTTATTCAAGCATCGGATTAATAGCAGTGTAGTACATGCATCCGAATATCTAAAGCAATTCCCCTCGCCTATCATCTCCATTATTGCAAAGTTTGTCTCGTTTGTTTCTGGCGGCTTTGCTGCTGTCTTAATCATCATTGCTTTTCTCGAAGAATCTCTTCTAGAGGGCCATGTAAGAAATACTAACAACGTAAAAAGCATTTGATAGATACAGTATTTGGGTATTAAAGTTTCTTTTACCACCTGTGTAGATATTCGGCCGCAATCTGTTCTGGTATGCTGCTGTTTTTGGAACAATTACAGCTATTAGCAGGGCTGCCATTTCAGATGAACTTTTGGTCCTCGACCCCGTAGGAACTATGTCTTTGGTGGTCCAACACACTCACTATATGCCTAAGAGATGGCGTGGTAAGGAAAACAAGGATGATGTCCGCTTCGAGTTAGAGACTCTGTTTCAGGTACCATGTTAACTTATTAACTCCTTTCTCACAAACTGATTTAGTTTAAGCCAAGTATTAATATTTAGTCACTGCCATCTTTCATGTAGACTTTCTGAATGTTTTCTATTTGACACTGTCAAGATAACTGCATACAGTCTTATATTCCATATTACCATGAAGAGGGAATGCCAAATTTATGTTTACACCTGTTTTTACTTAATTGGCTTCATAATGTAATGAGGTTAAGCAGCAAGATGAGCTACTTACAGGGTTTATTAGGAGATTCTTCTAATTTTTTTGTGTTCTTTTTATGATTCTATATTCCTCTAAACGTGATCTTATTTCCCTTGGTCTCTACTACTTTCTGAATGAATTTATATAAATGATGCTAATGAAAATTTCTGCACTGCAGTATACTGGAATGATGCTATTGGAGGAGATAGCTTCGATCTTCATCACACCATTTTTGCTGATGTTTGTCGTGCCAAAGGTATATTTCTCTCGCATTCGCTTTAGTGTACCCCCAATCAATATTGAGAATGTACAATGATTGTGGTCTCGCACATTTTGACATCACTTTCCAGCGGGTGGATGACATCTTGCAATTCATCAAGGATTTCACAGTTGATATTGAAGGTGTAGGCCATGTTTGCAGGTAAACAACTCTTCTAGTCATGTACTTCCCATGAATTGTTCTATAGAAATCTACAATAAGGATTACATTATGATCATTGGCCGTTTCGCTTGCAGCTTTAGTGCTTTCTACTTTGAGAACCATGGAAATATCAAATATGGTTCACCACATAATGCAACTCGTCGTGAGCAGAGAAGCTCACAAGGCAAAATGGAGAAATCATTCTTGAGGTTTGAGGCATTTCATTGTCTTTTTTCGTTGCTACATATGAATTCTCTTGAAATGTATGCAAATCAGTGTTGATCCATTTTATTTGCAGTTTCCAGAGTAGTTATCCTTCTTGGGAGTCAGATTCTCTTGGGAAGCAATTTCTGTCAAATCTCCGAACTTTCCGGGACCGAAAGCTTCATGAAATCAACACAAGACACTCATGTTCTCCTAGTAGGGCGTGGCGAGAAAGCACTACCACCGCTTTATACAGAGACATTCCAAGAAACCCGATTGCGAGCGGCAATCACACTGATTCCATGTGGCTGATTGATCCAGATCAGAGGAATCATCCTTATCTTCTTGACTGGTATTACACTTCTCAGGCTCACAACAGAACTGATCACTCAATAGAGAGAGCAAACGAAAACTTAACCGCAAATCAGAACGCTACAGATTGTTGGCCTCCTGATTTGGGAATCCGTGGTGAAGATAGCAGAGATCTCAACATGGAGGCAAGCACATCAGGTCAGTTCTTCAGAGAGAGCATTCTGCGCCATGACCAACCCGAGGGAGAGGAAAGTTATGGGAATCAGCATCCTCTTGATGGTAGGAGCCAGTGGTGGGGAAGAGGCAACCACTCCCACATTGGCACATCTCATCCTACAACCACCAATAGCTTCATCGAGCCACCTGATTTTATAAACCGATACACAGCAGGAAACTTATTAGACAACTCATGGAGCAGAAGAAGCATTGACGAAGAAGAAGAAGAACTAGATTGGGAAGAGGACGCAAGAAGAAAGCTGTCGAGAACTACATTCATGGACGATAACGATATTGAAGCTGGGATTGATCTCCATTTCGACGATGTATATAGTTCAAGACCTCAAGAAACTTCAACATCAAGCACCACATTACGGTGAACAACAATGAATTTTTTTGATTCAAAGTTGTTTCTTTGTTTTGTCCTTTTTATGGTGGATGAAGAAGGAAGATAAAAGAGATGCTTTGTAGAAAAGTGTTCTCTGTATTTGGAAAAAAATGTGGGAATAATAACATGTTTCTCTTTTCTTTTTCTTGGTTATGTTTCAAGCTAACATTACATGCAATTCTTTATTGTTGTGTATATAAAATTAGGTCCTTAAAAATGGTATTTGTTCAATTGTGTTTACTTGAGAGTGTAACAAGCTCTGTCTTGTGAAAGACGATACGAAACAGGAGAGCTCGATGTAGAGAGATTGCCCGCTGGAGTTGAACTAGCTTCTTCAGGAGACGTTGTTGTGCGTGCGTTTTTTTTCGTCGACTTGTGTTTGTTTTGGGTTGACCCATTCTTAAAATCCCGCTTGACCCGACCCGGATTCACCTGTGTTTTTTTTTTTGTTTTTTGCAATCTCGAGCAGCTGATGAAAACAGAGAAGAATCATATAAAACAGAGAGAAATTTATTGTGAATCTCTATCTCCCTCTTTGTCTGTCTCTGCTCGTGATTGCTTGTAAACTCAACGCTATGGCGGTTTCTAATGCCTTCGTTGTTGTTAGCCCAAAGCTTGAGACGTCGTCGTCATCGAATCACCATAATCGGTCTTCTTCTCCGGACCTGATTAGGATTCATACTCTTCCGATGAATAATAGGACAGGGAGAGGTCTGATCCAGAGAGCGCGTTGCGAGCTTTCTCCGTCCAGTGACTCATCAGCTCTGAACCAGCTAAAGAATTCTCCTACAAATGACAGTAATAAAAAATTTCTGCCTTGTTTTTCTTAATTTTGGAATTTGTTTTTGATTGCATTTCAGATTCGTGATTGGTTTTCGTTAATTCAAAATGGATGTTTCACGTTCAAATCATGGGAGATTGTTTCCTTGTTAAAGTTTATAGCTTTGTTGAATTCTGGGTACCTGCAGGATACACAAGGGAGAGAAGCAGCATTGTGGTGATTGCGCTTAGCTATCACACAGCTACTCTAGAGATGCGTGAGAAGCTTGCCATTCCAGAAGCTGAATGGCCACGAGCTATTACTCAGTTGTGCGCTTTGAATCACATTGAAGAGGCTGCTGTTCTCAGTACCTGCAACCGTATCGAGATTTATGTTTCCGCTCTTTCTCGCCACCGTGGTGTCAAAGAAGTCACTGACTGGATGTCTAAGGTTCTCTTCTTTTTCCCTTCTCCTTGAGTGTTTTGGGCACCTCTGTTACAATAAGTGGCAAATGCTTACATAATAATGTTATTTCTTTGCTAGAGAAGTGGAATTCCAGTTTCGGACATCTGTCAGCACCGGTTTCTGTTGTACAACAAAGACGCCACACAACATCTATTTCAAGTCTCAGCTGGTCTGGACTCTCTTGTCCTAGGAGAAAATCAGATACAATCACAGGTTAAACAAGTTGAGAAAGTAGTTAAACAACAAGGGTTTGGGAGGATTATCAGTGCGCTATTTGAAAAGGCAATCAAGGCTGGAAAGCGTGTCAGAGAAGAGACAAACATCGCGTCTGGGGCTGTTTCCGTTAGCTCTGCTGCCGTCGAACTTGCTCTCACTAAGCTTCCAGGATCTGTATCATCTGCTATGATGTTGGTAATTGGTGCAGGAACGATGGGGAAGCTTGTAATCAAGCACCTGGTTGCTAAAGGTTGCACTAAAATTGTGGTTATGAACCGAAGCCAAGAAAGAGTTGCAGCTATCCGTGAGAAGATGCAGCCTGGCGTTGAGATTATTTATAAACCCCTTGAGGAGATGCTAGCTTGTGCTGCAGAAGCCAACGTGATCTTTACTAGCACAGCATCTGAGACACCATTGTTCTTGAAGGAGCACGTAGAGATCCTCCCTCCTTGTCCTGCAGATGCAGATGCGAGGCTCTTTATTGATATCTCTGTTCCTAGAAATGTTGGGTCTTGTGTAGCTGAATTAGACGGTGCACGGGTTTACAACGTGGATGACCTCAAGGAAGTTGTTGCTGCCAATATGGAGGACAGGGCGAGGAAAGCAATGGAGGCTCGGGATATAATAACAGAGGAGTCAATAAAGTTTGAAGGGTGGAGGGATTCGATGACGTTTCCAACAATCAAGAAATTAAGAAGCAAAACAGAGAGAATCAGAGCGGCTGCTGTTGAAAGATTCATGTCGAAACATGGCAAAGACATGGACAAGAAGACGAGGGAAGCAGTAGAGAATGTAACCCTAGAGATAGTGAACAGGATCCTGCACGACCCAATGAAACATTTGAGATGCGATGGGACTGATAGCAGGGTGCTGCATGAGACTCTAGCGAACATGCAGGCTGTGAACAGAATGTATGAACTTGAGGGAGAGTTACTCGAGGAGAAGATTAGAGCAAAAAAGAGGGAACAAAAGTAGAGAGAAAGAGAGAGAGAGCATTTGCTGCATCAATTTTTTGACATATAGACACATACTCTCTTTGATTTAGCTCTATGGCTGTGTTCTTTTGAGCTTTTGGTCTGTTTTTCTCTGTTTAAGCTATTGCTATTGTACTCACTTTTAGTTTAGGTTACTTAACTAATGATGACCAAAAAAATAATCTTGTTTTTTTGACATTATGGTCTGTTTTTTTACAAGTTTTATTGTTTTAATGAAACGTCGGAAAAAAAAGCCGAATTTCTTCTTAGGGTTTTTGTTATCTTTTAGGGTTTTTCATTTTTGCTAACGAGAGGATTTTCTCGACGCGAGCTCCGGCCATGAAAAGCCTTTCGATTTCTCTAATCCGTCGGCTTCATTTCCATAAATTCAGACCAATTCCACTTTCAATCAACCTGAATGCTGCTGCGTCTTCTTCTTCTTCATCATCCTCTTCCCTGGTCTCGCCAACACGCGAAATCTCAACTTGCTGCAGAAGAACCAATGGCCTGATCAAGAGTCAGTTCTGGGTCAATCCATATCGGAATTTGAATACCCATGTCGAGGAACCTCCAGAGCTTTCGTCAAGTGATAAGGAAAAGATCGATCTCGAAGAAGCGTTTGAGTCGGCGAATACTACTGATGAAATGGTCCGTTTGTTCAAGGAGATGGAGTTGACTTTCGAAGGGAACGAATTAGGTTTATCTGCTTTGAAATTAGGTCTCCATCTCGATCGTGAAGGTGAAGATCCTGAAAAGGTTCTGTCTTACGCTGATAAAGCTCTTAAATCTTTCGATGGAGATGGTAATAAACCTAATCTTCTCGTTGCCATGGCGCTGCAATTGATGGGTTCTGCTAATTACGGTTTAAAACGTTTTAGTGATAGTTTAGGTTACTTGAACAGAGCTAATCGGATTCTAGTTAAGTTAGAGGCAGATGGTGATTGTGTTGTGGAAGACGTTAGGCCGGTTTTACACGCCGTGCAACTCGAGCTTGCTAATGTTAAGAATGCTATGGGGAGGCGAGAGGAAGCGATTGAGAATTTGAAGAAGAGTTTGGAGATTAAGGAGATGACTTTTGATGAAGATAGTAAAGAGATGGGTGTGGCGAATCGGAGTCTTGCTGATGCTTATGTTGCGGTTTTGAATTTTGATGAGGCTTTGCCTTATGCGTTGAAGGCTTTAGAGATACATAAGAAGGAATTGGGGAATAATTCAGCTGAGGTTGCGCAGGATCGAAGGCTACTCGGTGTGATTTATAGCGGTTTGGAGCAACATGACAAGGCATTGGAGCAGAACCGACTGTCTCAGAGAGTGTTGAAGAATTGGGGCATGAAATTGGAGCTTATTCGTGCGGAGATCGACGCTGCAAACATGAAGGTTGCTTTGGGTAAGTACGAGGAAGCGATTGATATATTGAAGAGCGTTGTTCAACAAACTGAGAAGGACAGTGAGATGAGAGCTATGGTATTTATATCAATGTCGAAAGCTTTGGTAAACCAACAGAAGTTTGCTGATTCAAAGAGATGTTTGGAGTTTGCTTGTGAAATTCTCGAGAAGAAAGAAACAGCTTCGCCTGTAGAAGTCGCTGAAGCATACTCTGAGGTAGCAATGCAGTACGAGTCAATGAACGAATTTGAAACCGCTATTTCGTTGTTGCAAAAAACTTTGAGTATACTAGAGAAGCTTCCTCAAGAACAGCACTCAGAAGGAAGTGTTTCTGCTAGGATAGGTTGGTTGCTTCTGTTCTCGGGTCGAGTCTCTCAAGCGGTTCCTTACTTGGAAAGTGCAGCCGAGAGGTTAAAAGAAAGTTTTGGTGCCAAACATTTTGGAGTTGGATATGTATATAACAATCTCGGCGCTGCTTATTTAGAGCTTGGAAGACCTCAATCCGCTGCTCAAATGTTTGCAGTTGCTAAAGACATTATGGATGTTTCACTCGGTCCTAACCATGTGGATTCAATCGACGCTTGTCAGAATCTTTCTAAAGCTTACGCAGGAATGGGAAAGTAAGTCGATTTCTGTTAAAACAGTCTAGATAGTGTTTAATGTCCTGCGCATTGCTTGCTTGCAGTTATAGCCTTGCAGTGGAATTTCAACAGCGAGTAATCGAAGCTTGGGACAATCATGGAGATAGCGCGAAAGACGAAATGAAAGAAGCAAAAAGACTTCTTGAGGATTTGCGATTGAAGGCTCGAGGAGGCGTATCAACAAATAAGCTTCTGAATAAGGCTTTGCCTTTGCCCAAGACAAGCCATTGATAGTGGGCTTTGTGAAGTCTCAGCATCAAAGAACAAACAATGAAAAAAATGGTGAGATTTAATTAGCACCTTCTGTTTTTTTTTCATATGATCATCGTATACTAAACTTTTGTTTTGCCACTGAATAATTAAGTTATTCTCGAAATAATGTGTTTAGCTACTTCGATCATTAAATTAGATTTTTTTTAGATTTCACTCCACTTCACAAATATTGATGATTTAGGTGTTGTTTTTGATTGATGGATCATGGATGGTTAATTTTTATACAAGTCTACATGATATTTTCAAATACAATATATAATAATGGTGTAATTTTATAGAATGAAAAATATAGTTAGTCATTTAAATGTGTTATTATTAATCTGTGATTTTTTTTTTCATTCTTTGTGAAGATTTCATTATTGGATTCTTTTTTTTTCTTTATGGAGTAAACGCTTTAAATTGCAAGTGCCATTCTCTAAAATGGGATTTCGATTCAGAATTTTACTTGGGCCACCAAAAAAGTGTAAAAATTATATGAAGTTATTTGGTGGTATTTTGCTTGTACAATTATTTACTGTCTTTCATTTTGGTCTCGGGTCCAAGTCCAACACAATGCTTGATTCACTAAATGGGTCTAAGTCCAAAAAAGTGTGATTATTTTGTAAGTTTAACAGAGCTATCTCAAGTTTTGTCCACATAATCAATATTCATACAGGTCCAAAACTCGTAAACCAATTCTGAACAAAACTAGAGTCAAGTCAAGTCAACTTGAGGCATACTTGGCCAAACCATAAAAGCCTATATTTTTCGAGGTATAACCTTTTTGACCCTAGCTAAGCTCCGTGCTTTAACTTTAACTGAAGTGCCTAATCATATGACCTACTTGCAAGTTGATCGAAAAAAATTCATCACTACTAATCTGACCAAAAAAATTATATATATATTCATCACTAAATATAAATGAGGTATTTTTGTTACTTGAACAGACCATTGATCAGACGTTAACGAACTTTGATATCTTAAGGTTTTAAAATTGAATATACAAAGAAATTTGTGGCCGCCGGCGTTAAACGATGAAAATAGAAATAATTGAAAGAAGAGACTTCTCTGATTCGGATACAGTTGCTTACGGAACACTCTCGCCGCCGCCTCTCATATGCATGTATCATTTATATGTTAATTTATTTTATTGGTATGATACATTTTTAATGAATACTTTACAGTTTTATATTCATCTTGAGAATTTTTTAAAAACAAACAAACAAAGATTCTCTCATTTGCTCATGTGTCTGATGAGTGATGACTAAGTCATGACAAAACTAATACACACGTGCTTTAAATGAAGATGCATGCACTTTGATGATCACTTTCTCTTACTTTCAACGGGTAAACGCCTTGAATTAAAGAAGTTTCTAGATCTTTCCGACACCATGTAAAAGAAAATTGATTTTTAAAACATATTAATATATATACACTTGTGTATTAAAGTAATAATATATTATATTGAGTAGAAATATACTATTGGTTTGCCAATAATAAAAATTCAATGTATCATATTAACTTATAATTAAGCGGCGCACATCAGGTATTACATATTAACTTATTAAGTTAGACTTCATAATTGGTTAAACTTCTTAAAAGTGAATACTTTTAGATAAAACATCTTATATTTTGAAGCATAATGAGGATATCAGAGTATTATAGCAGAGTCTTTTGATATTTTTTAATCGAGGTTTTGACAAAAAAAAAAATATAACTGAATACTGTAATGTACATCCATGAAACGAATACCACATTTTCATAAATTAGTGAACTCACAAGGTTAATCTATGGGTTCCAACCCAAACTTGTACTGACACATTTAAGAGTATGTATTGATATTGTACTTGGATATATCATAGATATTGTAGTTCGAATTTGTTTTGAACTATTTTTATTACAATGGTCAACAATGTTTAAATCAATTCACGTAATTTTGAATTTTAATTTGACCAGTATATATCTTTTAAGATTGGAGACATTAAAAACGTTTATTCACGTGTCTTCTTGTTTGGTTAAATTTGAAGCTGAATCTGGCAGCAGTGTAACAACACTCCTCCAATTGGTTGATCTATGAAGGCTTAATTACAAAACTTTTAATTTTGATCAAAACAGTTGAGACAAACCAGATTTTGGATCCATAACTTTGATCCATTTTCTTTACCACACTTGAATAACTTGAAATATGATTTGGAAACGTGATTTTATATATTGAAAATTGTATTCTCATTTATCAACTAAGTTATAAAAGAGAAGAAGAATTACATGTAGGTCATATATTCAAAGTTTCAAACCGCCTAGTTGAATACTACTGGCCTAACTAATGAAGGGTGTCATCACCGCCTCACCGGCCGGTCTAACAATTAAAAAGAACTTACCATCTAGATGGTCGTATATTAGTTATATAGAACTTGAGTTTCGATTTTTTCAATAACTAATTAAGGTCAAGTGATGATAAAATAAAAGCTATTCGAATTAGGCCTCGTGGGGATTGCTTTCTCTTAAAATTGCATGTTTCGCCATTGTTTAATCTATTAATAATTTAGTATGTCTCCTATTTGAAAGTGGGAACTATTAAACCAGAAGAAAAAATGAAGTTGCAATTATTTGTAACATCGATGCATGCATGTACCATAATGAGATGGTCAGTTTCAATAAGCCAATCAGATAATCTATATTATAAGAAAATAATCTCTCAAGTTTTGCATACGAACAGTATAGTATCAAAATCAAAATCTTTAGTGGAAAGTTTAAATGTTTTGTAACAAAATTATCAAATTATATATTATTATACAACTTGTATTATGCATGTTCAAATCCTAACTCTATTATAGACGTCTTCAATTAGAAAAGACGGAGCCAAATCAGGACTAATGTTTTTCTGTTCTGTTTTGTAAGATATTGTAATACAAAACTATATAAAAATTCATCATATATTTATCGACTACCAAAACTATACATTACAAATTTCTCAAATTTCTTATAAAATATATTACAATTACAAATTCATTAAATCTATTAAATATTTTAAGTACAGTATCTCACATCGTTTGATATCATATAAACATTTCACCAATAATAACAATCGTGACTACTGCTCAGGATCTTGTGCCTCCAATCCGATTATCAAATTCTAGTCAAAGCTATTAATTCGGAGAAGCAACTTTTGGAAGTTTTTGGAATTTGGAGGATGTGTTTATTAGTATCCTCCGATTTAATCGTTTTCAGTATTTTTACATTCCAAGGGCAGCCAATGTTGAGGTTGACTCTTTGCAAAATCCTTTTTTTTTTTCTCTGTTTGTTTCAAACTTTTGAAGTAATTTAAAGTTCCGTTGATCAAAAAATAAATGACAATCGTATTTCTAATTTCTAGATTTTAAATATAAGACAAACACCATTCTTAAGCATTTACAATCTGTAAACTAATTGGATTAATCGTCTAGTGGTCATATACTTCGGACGAAAAATAATTATATAAATTATTAAAGATGGGCCATGCTAGCTGTTTCCAAAAGATATTAACAATAACCTATCAATCTATTAAAGTAATACTGTACCGTTCAAAATAACAAATCTATCTTACCTTTAATTAGCAAGTTGATCAGTACTTATTATTGATTCCACCAGGAATTGAATATTACTAACTGTTAAGTGCACTAATTAGAAATGAATCTACTAAGTTTTATCATAGTTATCCTTAATTTAGTGGGGACATCAAATCGCATGCATGTTTGATGTAACTTTCTGTTAATAAAAAAATAATTGGCCTTCGCTATAAGCAGGGCAGGGTATAAATAAAGTGACATTAGAATAAAAACTACAGAGTGTTCATGTACCGTATCTCTTATTAGTTAGTGGTATTATTTTAATTTCAAGTTGTCATATAAGTCATATTACTAAATTACATCTCCAATGGTCCACCATCAATAACCCTCGCTTCAATTTAAAACAATTTATTCAATCTTATAATATAGTACTATAGAGTTTGTTTTGCTTCTGTGGTGAGACACAATACACGACGAATGGGGAATTGAATATGAAGAAAGACATGGAACGAGACTAGTGATTCTAGAAACTCTCTTTAGAGTTCTAATTGATCTCTTAGAAGATACAATAGTACTTTTTAAATGTGATTTTTTAAAAAAATATGTGATGTTTGAAACATAGAATAAACAATATAGTATCTATACTTATACAACGAATGGGGAGTATCAGTTAGTAATACTATTGAAAATTTTATGTTTTGAAGCTAAGGGCGGTTAATTTACCTGGTAAGTAGTGAAGATATTAACTATTATGTCATTTTCAATGCATGTGTGACAAAATAAACATTTGGAGATGAGCATCAAAAATGTTCAAATGTTATAAATAAGTAAATAACTGATATAAATTTTGAATATAAATGCATTATAAATATAAGAGGCTGTTTACTTTTATTTTATTAGGGGGATGCCGGATGCATATGTTGTTTACTTTAGTTTCATTAGGGGATTATGCTTTGAAGTGTTTCCTTTTACTCCAATTCAAGTGGAAAGTCTCAAGTTCTCATTTGGGGAATTATGTTGATTAGATCTTCATCTTTCTCCCCTTCATATACATGTTATGAAAGTTTCCGAAGAAACTAATTGTGTTTAAAGTTTTTTTTTTTTTAATAAAGAATTGTGTTTAAAGTTTCCTTTATAATTCCATCATATGTAAGATAGTTACATAAGAACCACTTCTAACCCCAAAAAAAAACAGGTGACCCCTTGAAATAATGTTGATAATTTTTGTTGTCGTTATAAATTATAATAAGTCATTGGTATCGATCGATACAAATATGGGTGGTGAATATATGTAATTATGTATGTTCGTAAGGGGTATGCACTTGGACGTGGAGGTCAAACATCAATCACTTTAGTGGACAAAAACATTTTATTTTTGTCTAGCGGGCAAGCTCTCTTGTCCGCCCGCTTTAAACACTCTTCAAAGCATATAGTATCAGCAAAATTTTAATTTTATTTCCCTAATGTTTTACTATCTATCTTCCACTTTTTTGTGATGGGGAATAATCAATAGCCATATTTTCCATTTATAGCACATGGAAATAGTACAATATCGCATGCCTCAACATTGTTATTGATTATACGGAATATCCAATACCTTAATGACTTTTATTTTTTGACAG